ACAAATAGTGAAAGAAAAAAGTTCGCTTGAAGCTGAGCTAAAACAAATCATAGAAGAAAATGCAGAGAAAGCAAAGTTAAGAGATGTTGAACTCAATGCTAGAATAACGAAACTAGAGCGATCGGCGAAATTGGAGCAGAAACAAAACAATACTCATGATACCCCCGCATCTGATATAACTGATGACGCTTCAAATTCTGATGTATGCCAGGAGACAAAGACTCAGCCGAAGGTTTTGATTACATCAGCGGAGCTTGCTCAGCCAAGATGCACCATATCACCAATTCGTAAATCGTTGGAAGATAAGGAAGTCGATGAATTCCTGGATTCAAAGTATAAAGAAAAGGTTAGCAACGAGATAATTCAGAGTATTAAGGAGAAGAAGCTTCGAGAACAAGAAACAATCATAACTTCCCAGGATACTGTCCCTATTACCTCTCGTGAACAGAAAAACATCCAATCAAATTCTCAGCACGAAAGCGTGGATATTGACCCATGTACCTTGACTTTGTCAAGAATTTCCAATAGCGAAGCTAGTGCCAAGGCACATAAATCGGAACAAACACCTATTAATCAAAAAGTTACCCGTAATCAAATGGTAGAACAAGGTTTAATACAAGAGTTAACAGAATTTATTATAGAGGAGAGCATTGAAATAAAGAAATCTTTTTATTTAAACGATAAGAAAACTGTTACTGTACAGAGCTTAGTTCATTTGTATCAGAAAGCAAGTTTAGCGGAAAAAAATACAATTCAAGCCAAACAGCAAGAAATTTTATGCTGGTATTATTATGGGAAAGACTTTGAAAAAATGGTTAGTGAAATTTTGTCTAATCCTTTGGGAATTGGAGCTGATTGCAATAATAAAAGAGCTAATGATCTTGCAAGAGGCCAAATTTATGATGAAATGATTTCACATCTTTCAGGCATTACACGTGAAAATTTGCGTAAGAAAACTCAGAGAATTATTAAAATTTATAATCTATTCGAAACAATAGGTAAAGATAAAATTAAGCAAGTTCGATCTTATAGTGCAACTACTATTTCATGTTTAACCGATATTAATATTCAAAATATTATCAATTCCGTTTCCAAAAAATCACATGACTGCGAGACAAATCCGTCCCGCACTTATAAAGAAAATTTATCTTCTGATTTTAGTCTTTCTCCAAAAATAGAACTCGAAGTATCAGAAAACAAGGTAGGTGCACCACCTGTCTCGAAATCCGCTGTTAAGGAGACCTCACCAGAAATCAAAGTAAGTGAAGTATCTACATCTCAACCCAAGAAGACCTTATCTGAAAAGCAAAATAATCCAGCTCATACCCGTACAAATTTTTGTAACAAATTATTGGAGCAGTATCCCAATTTATATGAAGAAATTAGTAGCGAAAAAGTTGATTATTATGGGATTAATGTTGAATCATTATGCCCAATATGCAAGTTAAGTCACGAGGGCGAAGAAGGTATAAAAGGCGAATATAAAGATGGATCTTACTATATTAAATGTGAAGTATCTAAAATCAGTACTGCCATGCCAGTTCACGTCGAAGTAATTGTATAAATCATATTAACACCTCGGTTCTGACATTGGGCTAGATATAAGTATTTAGATCCTCACTTTATGAGACAGGAAATTATTAAAAAATATATCTTTTTTTCTTTACTACCATGCCAGCTCACGCCGAACTTGAAAGAGTAATGGATGATATTCAATATAGGAATTTAAACGAATGTGATCTTATAAAATAACAACATGGATATGTTAAACTTGCAGACCAAGCCCAATGAAATCTCTACGAATCAGGACACTCTAACCCCTGAATATTTGGATTGGCAGGCTAAATTAATTGGCGTTTTAACAGATAAAATTCGTTCCAAGTTATATAAAAGATATAAAGAAGAAACTGGGCTCGATCCTTGGATAAAGTCTGAAAATTCGGGATCCCCACAAATCGAAAAGGATGTTGAGGAAAAGACTTTATTTGTACCGCGGGTAAATGTTCTCTCTACACCATCCAAACGGCAATTCCCAATTTCTGTTCTACCTAAAGACCCGGAAGAAAGGCAACAACACGTTATTGAAATGGTATTAGAGCGATTTCCTTATTTGACTCTGAAACATAGTTTTAACAATGATTACTTCGATTTTAACAGTTCTATATCCTGCCCTATATGTAATAAAAACCATAAAAAAGAAAATATAAGAAATCATATAGAGGGTTTTGGGGGTAGTGGCGAATTTTGCGGTGAAAAAGCTTATCATCTTTATTGCTATACAAATAAATATCAGAATTCGATCCAAATAGTAAGTATAAAAGCATAAGTTAACTTGACTTCGACAATGCATATATAACAACCATAAATCATTTTCCCGCGATCACATGCATAACTAATAATTTTTCCGGAATAATTTTCCGAGACCGAACAATTGAAATTAGGTCCCGGAATTTTTCTTGAAACGAATTTTTCTGCGTATAAAATGGTTAGAAGATTAAGATCAGGTGCTACACGCTTATCACCTAAAGCAATTAGCGATATAATTACTGCTAAGGGTACAGCAAATGCATTACTGAATCTAGCTAAAAAATATAGGGCCTTGCCCATGCTTCGCATAATGTATCATATGCACGAATTCATGAAATATGGAGTAAAGCCTTTATATAATCAATTCATAGTCACAATACAATCAATACATCGTTTATAGTACAGTTTACCACAAACCCGATATAAAAAATAAATGAGTGCTTTATTGATTGTGTTTAGGATTTATTACATAGGTTGTGACCTAGAGGTCACGACGTCACGTGATATATGGCGCAGTAAATACATAATTTATGTCTCGCTTGTATCTTGGTGCTGAGCGAAATGAACCAATATAACGTCTATATCATCCTGACTCAGTTTCGAAATCATCAAAGCTGTGAAAGATTTAACTCGCTGGATCCTACCTACCCCAATTTCACTAAATAATTCGTATATCTTCTGAGCTCTCTCTTTTCTTTTCCGCAACGAAGTTTCACTAACCGATTCGGGAAGTTGTTTCCCAACCTCTTTATTTACCAATGCCTGCGCTGTACGTTTCGGATTATTTTTTCTATAATATTCATATCTCTCCTCAAACGCTTTACCAAAATCATAGTATGACTTAATCACGAGTTGATTTACATGCTCGCTTTGTTCTTCGGCCCTATTGATTGCAAGATATAAATCGTGGAAATTACCGGTACTCTCTTCATTAACTTCCGATATCTGGGATGTTTCAATGGATAACTCATCAATAAGCTTCTTTACTACATTCGAATCCTTCTTCTCGTCACTCTTTTTTACTTTTTTAGTAGACTGCAAATTATGCAAGGTCGGTTTCAAGATTACAATTATTGAACACGATAAATCGGCCAACAATCGCACGTTTTCTATATTGGGGTTAATAACTTATTGAAAGGTATACGGGTACCGTAATAATTTTACACGCTATATTTAAGCCCGATTTACAAATTTAGAATAACCGTTATGCACTTCGTTATTTATGCATTATATATAATAATAATAACAAACCATGTTGATAGTATCGCATTTTTTTTACCCTGTGGATACATAAATACCTGTAAACATAAATGTGCGCTAGTTTAACACAACCACGTAATCAAAATAATCTCACAGCCATTAGTGTCTTATTTCGACATTGGAAAAAAATAAGTACGTATTATGTCATACTATTATATGACTTAACGGTCCCACGGGTCTGCTTTTATTTTGGTCTAGCTTGAGGCTAAAATTGCGATCACTTGATATTTGGGTTAGCGATAAAAACTTGACCGGCTTCAATAATCAATGGCCAGTATTAAAATTTATGCGGTGTTAGCTTAATTTCTTAGTCGATTTTTGATACTGCGATAAGAAAAGGCGAGGAACGTAAATTTTGAGTAAATCGATTAGATGATTAGAGCACTTTTAAGATTATGCATGGTTTGAATAAAATATGGGTAAAGTTCGGAATCAGTTTCAAAATTTCAGTGCGATACTTACCGTTACAATCAACGCATGATACTGTATGTGGCTAAGGCAGATTTGGTACTATCGTGATGATATTCCTGATCACAACTTGTTCATCGATATATTAGTCTTAATATTTTGACTGTTTGTATAACATCAAAAGCGTAAACGGGCAAAGTTAAATCATACCATCCATTTAGGGCTATACCCAATCAGAGGTTAGTATTGGCGCTACGATAATTACCACGTAAAGTGAAAAAAAAATCGGATTTTTATATGATATAAATATACATAATTTACAAGAGATAATGAATTAGGACTTACGTCTATATCCAGTTGAAGAATTATGCGGTGGCTTTTCGTCTTACTCGTACTCCGTTCCTGGTAAATCGTGTAGATGTTCAGTCAGCATACGATTTCCGGATTCACTATA